CCCTGGAGCCCCTTCAGCTCCTGGCAGGTTGCTCTGAGGTCTCCACACAACCTTCTCTTCTCCAGGCTGAACAGCCCCAACTCTCTCAGCCTGTCCTTGTAGGGAAGGTGCTCCAGTTCCTCTGATCAGCTTTGTGGCCTCCTCTGGACTTGCTCCAACAGTTCCATGTTCTTCTGATGTTGGGGACACCAGAACTGTTTGCAGCACTCCAGCTGGGTCTCACAAGAGCAGAGTAAAGGTGCAGGATCCCCTCCCTCACCTGCTGCCACACTCCTTTGGATACAGCCCAGGCCTGGGTTGGTTTCTGGGCTCTGAGCTCACACTGCAGCTCACAGGGAGTTTCTCACCAACCATCACCCCCAAGTCCTCCTCCCAGGGCCAATCTCAATGACTTCTCCCCCAGCCTAGAGCTGTGTTTGGGATTGCCCTGACCCAGGTGTAGGACCTTGTACTTGCCTTTGCTGAACTCCATGTGGCTGGCATCAGCCACTTCTCCAGCCTGTCCAGGTCCCTCTGGATGGCATAGCCCTTCCCTCCAGCTGTGACTGCCCCACACAGCTTGGTGATGTCAGACAACTTGCTGAGGGAGCTCTGATCCCACTGTCCATGTCACCCACAAAGATGCTGAACAGTATCGGCCCCAGCACCGACCCCTGAGGGACACCACTCCTCACTGGGCTCCAAGTGGACACTGAGCCACTGACCACAACTCTCTGTGTGCGACCGTCCAGCCAGTTCTTTCAAACAGGAGCAAGTAGCAGTTTATAGTGTCAAGATGTGACTTTGCTCTCTGTATGTCTCATTGCCATCAGGTGATTGAAGTGCTGATTCGCTCTGAGGAAGGACTTTCCAGAGACATGGTGAAGCACCTCAACAGCATTGAGGAACAAATTCTGGAGAGTCTTGCCTGGACTCGGAACTCAGCACTCTGGAATGCGCTCGAGGCCTCAGAGAACAAGGTCCCAACCTGTGAAGAAGTATGTGATCTGTTTTCTTTTTATTGGGAAATTCATGTTCTTTTTCTCACTGTTGTTGTATTCAGAAAACTGTTCCAATAAGACAATTGCTGCAAAAAAATCTTCTGTTAATAGATTGGCACAAAGAAGGGAAATTAATTTGTTACCTTACACTGACATTTCTTACCTCTCAGGTAATATTTCCCAGCAATTTCGAAGCCAGCAATGGGGGAAGTGGCCTTGGGCATCTGCCTATGATGCCTTTATCTCCCATAATTCATCCTCGAGTGAAAGAGGTGCGGACAGACCTTGGTGGGAGCTTACGACGGGGTATGTGCAAGGTTTGCTGTGATTCGAATGTGTGAACTTGGGGAGAGAATGTTTGGACTTCTCTGTAATAGCAAAAAGCAATCTTGAATCTGAATTAGGCGTTCAGAATTGTGAAGCCTCTTACTGAATCAAGGGGAAGTCTAGATGCACCCAGTCAACCCAGTGCTGTGTCTCACTGGCAGCAGATAGTGGTGGTGGTGCTTCCCTTCTGGACTGGGGCAGGTTTTGCTGCTGGTTGGGTGCCAGGGTGACCTTACTCTAGGTGGGTTGTCATCAAATGGCTTATTGTCAAAAAACCCTGAATTTTTTAGGTCTTTCTTGCTTTTTGTTTGTTTATTCTCACTAAGTTTGACTGGATTTTATGTGACTTTTGTTTGGAATTATAGAGCTGCACTTATTCCTGTTTCCTACAGCACTGGTTTTGTGCAGGAGAGGAGGACAATACTTTGCCTGCAGTATTCTCTCCTCTAAAGAACTGCTCTTTGCTGAGTCTTGCACAGAACCTTCTCCTGACAGGGCAGAGGCAGTGCCAGCACTGCTGTTCCTTTGCATACCTCCCTAGTCAGGGATTGCTACTCTCACTGTATCCCAGACACTAGTCCATAGGTTCTTGCAGCTGCACCATAGACTGATTGGCTGTGTGATGTTGTCTTTTGTGTTTGTCTGGCAAACTGCAGGACAGGACAAGTATTTGCAGTATTCCTTAGGTAGGAGGTGTACAAGCAGTTGCTGTAGGGTAGTTGTTTGATGGAAGGGGAAGCTTGGAGATGGTGTCCTATATATGGGTTAGGGCTGTGTGAGACATATATATGATCTCATCTAGAAGAGTCTGGTACCTGAGGCTCCTCCTAACTCTATTTGGAGAAAGGTGGGGATTGGAAGTGCTTGTTTTCCCCTGGCACTGAGAGAACCATCTTGGCAGAATTAGAAGTAATGTCTCCAGTCAGTCTTACCTGGCTAGTTATCCAGAAAGTTTCTGCTTTGTGGGAAATGGGAAGCTGCTGTCACTGGTAGCCTTGCAGGTGGCTAGCATACTGCAGCAGAAATGCAAAGAGTGAGAGGAACAGAAGCCTGTACAGTAGTGCTGTGTACTCCTGGCTTACTACTGGAGTAAGTGTTTGAAAGCACCAGAAAAGCCTGAAGGAAACCAGTGGTGGGTGAGGGTGGAGGCATCTGACAGGGGTCAGTTTGGAGAGAGTTTGAAAGCCAGAACATAGAGCAGACAGCATGTCCAGGGAACATGGTCAGTGTTCCTGCAGGAGTGAGTTCATAGGAGTGGCATGTGCAAATACTACTAATTGCCAAGCAGACTGGAGTATCTGTGACCCTGCTTGTTCCTCAGTCTCTGCAAATGGGTTTGGCTTCTCAGCTTCCATGTGATACCTGTTGGTAAAACTGTGCTGTCTGGGATGATAAAAGGCTGTAGATCTTGTTGCTATCACCTAGGAACAGTGAACTCTGAGAGCAGTTCTGAACTAGAAGTGATTTCTGGTACTCCAGTGCAGTAGTTGGAAGGTAGCCTTTCCCCTCCTCTGAAGATGTATTCCCATTAAGCTGCTGCTCTTAAGGTTTTGTTGATGTTGTTTTTCCCTCCTTGGCACAGCAGACATGCAACCTTTGTCACCCATCTCAGTCCACGAGCGCTACAGCTCTCCTATAGCTGGGAGTGCTAAGAGAAGGCTCTTTGGAGACGACAGCCCCCGAGAAATGCAGGTGGAAAAAGTCTTAACCAAAGGAACTAAGCTGACAATTGCTCCAGCATCAAGCATTGCTGCTGAAAAAGTGTCAGTGTCTCCTGGCCAGACAGTACTGACCATGACAACCACTCCAGGCCCAGGAAAAGCAGGACAGACGGTCACTATCCCACTGCACGGTACGAATTCTGCCTGGTTTTCTTCTCTGCTAGATATTTTCCTTGCTCTGAAGGTCTACTTAGACACACCATGCATCTTGTATTGCTTTTTCTTTTTAAAAGAACACTCACTTTGTCAACAGCAACCAAAACCAAAAGCTTAAGTTTATACTGACATCTTCTCCTTGGAGACATCTGATCCCTGACAGACATCCTGAGGATTCTTCCTCATGAACACAGTTATGGGTTCTTGCTGCTTCCAGTCACACCTCACTCAGATTAAGTGATGCTTTGGTTCTCAGCCCCAATAATGATTTACTGCAGGTTGTCATAACTCGGGTCTGTTCAAAGGCTCTGGAATTTCTGGCTAAGGAATGTGTGAGCATTGGCTGTTACATAAGAGACAAAGGTTACATGTTAACATTAGCTGTTCATATGTGAGACTTCTGTTTGGGAAACTGGGTGATGCTTGAATGTTTCTGACAATGCTTTTTTGAATTTAAAAATTGGGTTTATAGATAAAGATGAAAAGAGAAAACTCTCCACTTCTCACATTTAAGGAGATTTTTAGTAAGAGAATTTGTCTACCAAGGCAGTTAATGAGGGCTGATGGGATGTGCTGTCAGGTTTGCAGAAAAATGCACAAAAAGGATGGCCCAAAAGAGTGGAGCAACAGGTACAGAAATTGGAATTTCTTGTAAACCTACATCACTTTCAGATAGTTTTAGAAATGATCATTCACATTTATATTCTGCCTTTAAGCATTACCAGATATGTCATTTTTAGTAATTTCTGAAGACTCTGAGGGACAAAGATTCTTTAGGATCTAGTACAGAGGATGAGATGTCTTTAGCATGAAACCTTTGTAAATGAGCTTGACTTGCAGTTGAACTCTGTGGTGTGAGGAGGGAACCCACTTTATGTCTGGGTGTGTGTATCCTCTGCAGGTGTTGCAAATGAGATGGGTGGGATCACCCTGATCCCCATTTCCATTAACCTAGGCCAGCCCTGCAAAGTGGAGGCCCAGGCTCCCTGCCACCCTCCGGCCAGTCAAGCACAAGAAGTGCAGCTGTCAGCAGTGAGCAAACCGAAGCGAACAGGGTCCCTGGCACTGTTCTACAGGAAGGTAAGTGCTGTCACTCTCTGTAGCTCTGCTCGTGGCCACGCTAGAACCTGCCTCCTTCTGCAGCTCCCCTTACCTTCAGTCCTCCTGTGCCTTTCCTTTGGCATGTGCAGTTCTTAGACACCTTGAAGAAGGAAAACGGTGTTGAATGTTGCAGAGAATCCAGTTTTTCCCTTCCTCCTCATGAGATCTGTTAATTAGGAGCTTCTATAAGTAACCAAAGACATACTGGTAGTTTTTAATTCTCTTGTCTGTTTTGACTGCCTCTCACATTTTCAAGGGTTAGACCTATCCAAGATGATTCTCCTGTGTCTTACTCATTCAAACCCACTCTGCTGTGGATCCAGCATCTGAAGATTCTCATTTGCCACTTTGAGGTCTGCCTGGCAGTGCTGGTCTTGCTGGGGTGGGGGCTCAGAAAGCAGGGATGAATAACACACTAACTAAAGGTCTCTATAAAGAAGGAACTACTTGTAATAATTCAGAATTCAAGGGGTAAGTTAAGAACTGGCTGTGCTTCAGAGAAGCTGCACATGACTTGCTTTTAGTTGCCTTCAGTTCCAGCATGCAGGGTGTGAGGTGTCTGTGGAGGAGGCAGGTAACTTGTCTGAATGACTGCAAACGATATCTGCCTAAATTCATCTCTCAAAAATATTAAAATATTTCCTTTTTTGCTGTTGTTTTCTTACTTGAGTAGTTATTTCCAGAGGTTTTCCCCTTTAAAGGGTATCTGTATTACAATACAACCTAGAGAATTCTACAATGAACAGTCTTTAAGATGCATCTTAATACAGTAACTAATTTCTGGAAATACTTGTAAGCCATATCCTGTGTCTGAACTATTGGCTCTTTAATTTTGCTGGGACAGTCTGTCTCTGAGAAGAGATTAAGAGTTGATTAGCCACCTGCCAGCATGAACTCAGATTGCATTTTAGAAGTTTTACTCTCACAGTTTCATAGCATATTAGGGGTTGGAATGGAGCTTAGAGATCATCCAGCCCCAACCCCTGCCCTGGGCAGGGACACCTCCCACCAGAGCAGGTTGCTCAAGGCTTTAGCCAACCTGGCTGCGAACACTGCCAGGGTTGGGGCAGCCACAGCCTCCCTGGTGTTCCTTGAAC